ACAAAGAAAACATGTTTATCACAATGCACTTACAAAGACACTAAGCAGCGTAATGCAATCAATGTAAAATACTCACTTTTTATGAACTTTTGTCATGCAAATTTTGCATGAACGAGACTAGTAGTTATTGGATAAACACAAGTTTCACATTTGTGATTTCTTAAACATACACATTCTATTCCCATTGTAAGTGCCTTACTGCAAACATTATATTTTTCTAAAAATAACTTTATTTTATTTATGTAATTATTTTCTACAGTCTAATTTTCTGGTAAATGAGCCACAAAAACTAATAAACAAATGATGGTCAATGTTTGTATTAAACCTGAAACATGACTTCAAGAACATGCAGTACATTGTGAAAATTCTTGTACATCTCTTCTCGGCTTAATACAGTATATAAAAATATAAATCTACTGTTCATCACATGACACTTTAGCAAAGGTCTGTTTTAATGTCATGTCAAATCTCCCTGCTAATACAGTTATACTGTTGATTATGCTGCATAAATACAGATGGTGTCCTCCTCCACTCCTTAAAAAAATATGTAAACAGACTTTTAAAAAACATAACCCAACATTAGTATCCTTTTTTTTTTACTTCAGAAAGTTATATGGGTCATTCTGTCTCAACTCAACCAGTGGTCCCCTGTATATTTACTGAGTAATCCACTATTTTTACAGGCATGCAAAGTTTGGTGAAAAAACGTAAAAACTTTTTCCCATTTTGAATGGTCACCACTGGCGAATAATGCAACACAGATTGCTTAAGTCAACAGATTTTACTTATAGACCTACCAATCTCTGTGTAAAAATAAAATAATGATGCTGACATCTTTCTAAAGTCATTTTTACCCCCCTGTAATCTGGCTCTGAATCTACGTCTGACATTTACTATTTTGGCTTTCATCACTATATATGTTTATCATTCTTCAGAAAAAATATTGACTTATTTTTAAATTTTAAATTTAAATTTGAGCCGAGGAAGTTTCTGAAATTTGGTTAATTTGACACGGAATGACTCATACCTAAACACTCGCGCCACATGAAACTGATCTGTGAGGGAACTGAATGCATGATAGTGAATAGGGGCCTAAAATAACGCAATCGACACGCAAATAAATAACACGATCATTCTCAGTTTATATGCAAAGCCAGTTCCTCACATCTCTCGAACCGCATCGTATTTTCACCTGGTTGTCAAGTCTGTGTCTGCTTAGTAAATTCATAATCTGATTGACTGCTTTCAGACTCAATTGTACACTGTCAGAAAATAAATATCATTATCTAAGAGTGACAGACTAAAGCGTTCTGAAATTCCCTTACGTGACGCCTGCGGGCTGCTGATGTGTCGCCTCATGAAAGACAGCGAGATGCCTAACAATCACTAGCACATGCTAGATTGTATGGAGGAGTTCATAATTATAATCTGTGAGAGCATGAAAAGTGGAAATTGGTGGCTTGAATTGTGAAAAGCTGGCCTCTTCAACAATGTACAGTAGCTTTTGATTGGCTTTCAAATCATCTAATGTCACGAAATGTTATGAAGTCAGACTTTTTACAAAACTCAATAACTAACAAAAGACTTCAATTAACAACTCTGAACTCGGAGCCCTTCCAAATAAAGAAACACTGTTTCGTCTTGGACAATGTACCGCATTCTTGTTAAAGGAACACTCCACTATTTTTGAAAATAGGCTCATTTTCCAACTCCCCTAGAGTTAAACAGTTGAGTTTTACCGTTTTCAAATCCATTCAGCCGATCTCCGGGTCTGGCGGTAGCACTTTTAGCTGTAGCTTAGCATAGATCATTGAATCTGATTAGACCGTTAGCATCTCGCTCAAAAATGACCAAAGAGTTTCTATATTTTTCCTATTTAAAACTTGACTCTTCTGTAGTTACATCGTGTACTAAGACCGACAGAAAATGAAAAGTTGCGATTTTCTAGGCCGATATGGCTAGGAACTATACTCTCATTCCGGCGTAATAATCAAGGAACTTTGCTGCCGTACCATGGGTGCAGCAGGCGCAATGATATTACGCAGCGCCTGAAAATAGGCTAACTTCCGTCAACATAACCAACGTGACCACCTGCTTGCACAGGGAGCGTGCTGGGGACTATTTTCAGGCGCTGTTTTAAATAGGAAAAATATAGAAACTCTGGTCACTTTTGAGCGAGATGCTAACGGTCTAATCAGATTCAATGATCTATGCTAAGCTACAGCTCAAAGTGCTACCGCCAGACCCGGAGATCGGCTGAATGGATTCGAAAACGGTAAAACTCAACTGTTTAACTCTAGGGGAGTTGGAAAATGAGCCTATTTTCAAAAATAGTGGAGTGTTCCTTAAAGCTTTGTTTTGTGCCCTCGCAAATTTTTTCAGCATATTGTTAATGCTAGACAAGATATTAAAAATGACTTAAGTAATGTCACACTTATGTCACATAGTGAGTGCAAACAGTAGAAGCAACATCATACAAGTAGGTATAGCAATAACAAACATGGCCGCCAAGGGACTACACAGCTCAACAAGGCTAACACAAACACAAAACGCAATATTGCAGTGAAATGTACACGTTCAACAGGCTATAAATACACACCTTCAACAGATTCACACACTTTTACAGTCCTAGCGAGTAATCAGACCAAACTCACTTCTGATTTGACCCCAGCTGCAATGCATGCTGAGTAACCAGCAGTGCCACAATATATTACAGTGCTTTTTTAGGTGGAAACAGAGTGTCACTTCTATTTGTTGATGAATAGAAAGTTCAAAAGAACAGAACAGAATTGAGTTGAAATAGAAATCTAGAAATCTTTTGTAACATTATAAAAGTCTTTACTATCACTTGTGATGAATGTATTGCATCCCTGTTGAACAAAATTATTAATTTCTATGATATATCAGTGCTATTTTACTATCATTTGACATAATATTTTGAAATATATTAGATTTTTATATTTTCTGCTTTCATGTTAATTTCAGTTACATTTTTTAGTAATTCTGATGTCTAAATAGTTTTTATAAATTTTTATTTCAGTTTTAGTTTTAGTTATTTTACGTAAACTAATTAAAAACGATAAATGTTGCCTTGGAAACTAACTGAAATAAAATAAGTTTAAATTTTTATATTTTATTTTATTTCAGTTAACAAACACAGACACACACACACACACACACACATAAAAGTAAACTTTTGCCATCAGCAAGATTTTTTAAAATATTATTATACATTATTATTTATATATTTAGCAAGGACACATTAAATTAATAAAAAAATGACAGTAAAGACATTTAAAATGTTGCAAAAGATTTCTAATTAAAATAAATGCTGTTTTTCTAACTTATATTATTTCCTTATAAATTATAACATCAGCACAACAATTTGTGTAAAAAGTTGAATACAAATTGTCTTCAGTTCAAAGCAAGAAAATCTGACATGACCAAATCACAAATGGACAAAAACACTGCAAAATCTTCATTTTACATCACCGCATTTGATGTTTATCCATTTCTCAAAATCCTAAAAAGTTGTTTCTTTCCAGACTTTTCGATATGGCCTCAGACCATTGGAGCCCGCTGTATTTTCTGATTGTTAACCCCAGCACAGCATCATCATGGCTCTCCAAACACAATTGTTTTGCATGGAAGCCTGTTTACAAGTGCTCATGAATAAGTTAGCCCACAGCGGCGGCCGAACATGTGGGGAAGAATCTCTCTCTTGAATCTAAGTAGGTTAAATCCAGTTGCCAAATGGAGTGGATTTGACAAGGCTCCTGCTACCCCAATGAGCATGAACTATCTCATCTCCTCTGAAATGGATATTTTCCCTACATTTTCACGCTGGACCGGAAGGGCCGGGATTAATGGCAGCCACTGGAAAACCCAAAACGGAGCTGACAGGAGTGAGGCGTGACGCTAGCGCTCTGTTTTGATCGGCACTTAAAGCCCATCGCTCGGCTCTCGGTCAAAGAACACAGGAAACCTTTTGACATTTTCTATTGCGACGACATGCAATCCTTCCACGGGGGTCTGCGCCTAAGGCTATAAAGTGGCATGCTGTTTTTTTTTTGTTTTCGCTGTGTCCAAGAGCAGCCCAGTTTGCCGTGCCGGATTTGTCCCTGAGATGTGCGTGACTAGAGGAGGGCGCGCTCACTGAGGGAATTAGCACAGCGACCCAGTTTAGACACCGAAAGTCTGACTCTGCGGCTCAGACACTTAACCTTTACTGACACGCGCAGACAGCGGAAGCACTTTAGAAAGGAGGCAGAGGAAAAGGAAATGGATTGCTGTGAGTACTATTAGCTACAGATCGAGCAGAAAATTACCTGACAAACTATGAGTTTGTGACCGTTTGAGTAATACGTTCGAAACAGAATGCCCTTGTACCGGCAACACAAGGGAAATAGAATTAATAACAATTCCACAGCATTTAGTCATGTATCCTGTGAAATATACAGTGGCTGCTCATTCCAGTGCAATGAGAAGTGCAAAAACGAGCTGGTAAATATAATTGAGAAACTAGAGAATGAAAGAAACATAATAATATAACAAAGTCCTTTTTTAAAATGGTTTAACACAGAACCAACAATATAATATAATATAATATAATATAATATAATATAAAATTAAGTTCTGTTCAAATATGTCTCGCCAAACAACCAAAAGGGGGGAAAACATCTCTAATTGTTATATCAAACATTTATATTTTATGGTTCTCATTAAGGCTAAGAACAAACCTCTAACCCTAAGTATTACACCTTGACATGTAACTAGTCCCACTACGGACATCCTGAAGTCCTTGCAGATAATAAAACAGGCAAAAGCAATTGCCTTCAGCTGAAGAAGAGACTTGAGCCGCATCTAGCGACCAAAATATCATAGACTGGACTGGGAATTGTAAAAAATCCATCTGTCTGAAATGTTCAAAGGTGCTCAAAGATGGTGAATAAGCAACTAAATTCATGCAGAATAATAATAATTACAGTACTGTCACTCACCAATGCAGTTGTCTCTGTGCTCCTCAAAGCCGGCACTGCACACACATCGTCCAATAGGAACGAGCCACTCGCCCTCAGAGCTGCAGTACATCTTAGGAGTGTCTCTCTCCTCTGCGTGGTCCACACACTGACCTCTGACCTCCACCAGAGACGACGAATCAGCCCCCGTGACCACGTCCGTGAAGACGGCCAGGTTGCGAGCCATTCCCGTGCAGCGTTTGTAATACACTCGGACGGACACGATAGCGATGCAGGCTCCTATATCCTGGAAGGCCAAGTAGAAGCCGCGTTTGCTGAGCGGCCCGACGCCGCGGATCTCAGTGTTAAGCTTGAGTCTCCTCACACCCAGGTCCACGTTAGTGAAACTCTCGTCGGCCGCGATGGTGTCGATCTTGGAAAACTGACTCTCCCAGATGCTGGTGCCAACGTCGCGGTTGGCCTCGTAGTAGTAGAGGTTAAAGGTCTCCTTGCAGGTACCGAGCACGCCTGGCATGCTGTTGCAGTCTCGCAGCGTGAATTTCATCTCGATGTAGATCCGCCGGGCTCCGTCTCGCTGGATCCAGTTGGTCCGGAGCCAGTTGTTCTGGCTGGGGCTCATAACGTTGCACACCTGGTACGTGTGGATGGGGCTGAAATACTCGTCCATTTCGTTGATTGCATCCCACTGGCAAAGACAGAAAGAGAATCAGGGTTATTAACTAAAAACTAAAACCATAAAAATAAAAAATAAACATTTTTATTACATGAAATAAAATAAACAATTGAAATAACAGATAAGCTTAAACAGTTTTTTTTATTATTATTTTAGCTAGTTGCCATTGTAACATTGCAACTTTACTAATTATTTACTAAATTACTAAATCTTTAACAAAAATTTTAATAAAAACAGAAAATCCTAAAATTTAACCTCATTTAAAATATTAACAAAAATAGTACGGTATAATATTATACATGATAATAAAATAACACTGAAGAGAATAAGAGTTGAACTTAGTTGCATTAGAAAAATTTCTTTTTTTTTGCATATAAAAATTATTAGAAGAAATAAATTAGTACAATTTCTTATGAAATTATTAAAAAACAAAACATGGAATCACCATGTTGAGATCACATGACCAGATGCAACAAGCTACTGGCGAGTTACTATTTATAATAATAACAATAATAATAATATTAATAATTTATATAGTTAACTAATAACTTAGTTACAGTTATCTCTGTGACTCCATAAAATAAAATGAAATTAAAAAAAATAATAATAAAGGCAGTGAAAATAAAAAGCAAGAAAAAAAGAGGAGATTACACACTTAAAGTGTGCTGTTGCAATCACCTCTTTAATGCGATCTTATTTGTGGATTTACATATTTACAGTATGAAGATTCTTATAAATCAGTCCATTATTATTTCAACAGCATATCTCTTTTCACAGCAATGTGCATGAGAGCTTCTTTAAAACGTTTACATATGCATTGCGGTGCATAAGATTAATATCATGATGAATGTGTCCTGCATTTCCTTAATAACGTTCAGAATCCCTCGTTATTCATGGGTGGTTTTGTGCGGTTTAAGCAGTTTCCTATGCAATGCAAATAATCAGGCATGAATAAATATTTTATTATGAGTTGCAAATGAACTTAAAAGATTCATATCATGAACCTGAAGCAAAAAAATTAAAAAAAATAGAAATGCTGATCAATGTGAATGAAGCCATCCACAAGCAAATTTCATCTACTGTATTGGTCACAAAACACCAAACCTGATAAACAGGTAAAAAAAATACCTATTGCTAAATAACTAACTAAAAGAAGTTGCTACTAATTTAACTACAGTTTTCAGTAGTGTGAGCTGTTTTCAAAATACTATAGCTTTTCCTGTATGTAGCGGAAGCGTGTAGCACGACAAAACATCGCTGCTTTTAATGTGACATTGTACTGTGCACACATTTTTACAGCTGAGTAAACTGAAGAGTTAATCAACCCCCTTTTCTAAAGTGCCTGCTATTCATCTGATTTTTTACATGAGAGTGGGTATGACCATTTTTAACTTGAATGTGCAAGTATTCCGGTGTCCAGTGCCAGTTATTTCAGCTGTACAAAAAACAGTCTGTTATGCTGCTTGATATTGCAAACTGGTGTTTGCTATCATATTATTATAATTTATTATCATAATAATACTGGTTTGTAGCACAAATAGTGCTTACTTGAAACTAACTAGTTATTTAAGAGAGCAAAAGATTCTAGGTCATTTGTAGGTCTAAAAATGCTGCATAGCTCTGGTCTTAAAATCTTAATTTGGGAGACAGAATTAAACTTGCAATTAAATTTACACTAAATACAATAAAAACAAGACAATATAGTGCTATACAGCAAATCTACAACAGCAAAAACAAAGCAAAACATATATAATATATATATATATATATATATATGAAAAAGATGCAAAATATAAATGGTGATTTGACCCTGCTTGGAATTTTTTTTTAATAAAATAAGAAAATACAGTACTATACAGAACATACAGAGTTAAAAACAGCAGCATGTAACTAAATATTTTTGGAGAAAAAAATATTAAAATGATGTAAAATATATAGCCCTTGCTTGAAACAAAATAAATAAATAAAATAAAATATAAAATAAAACAATAAAATATAGTACTATACAGAATATACAGTCAAAGCAAGTAGCATTAATTCAATATTTGAATAAATAAATCTTGATTAGATTACAGCATTAAACTTACAATTAAATTCACACTAAATACAAATTGATATACAGGGTCAAAAACAGCAGCATTTAAGAATATATATATTTTTTTAAATATATGAAAAATATATATGGCGGTTAAGTCCCTCCTTGAAATAAAAAAACAATAAACACACACACACACACACACACACACACACACACAATAAAAAAAGAACTATACAGAATATAAAGAGTCAAAAACAGCAGCATGTAACTAAATATTTTGGAAAAAATAAATAAAAAGATGCAAATTATATATATAGTGGTTAAGTCCCTGCTTGAAATATATAATAAAATAATAATAATAATAAAATAAAATCAGAATTATTAAGAAAATATAGCACTATATGCAGAAAATGTACAAAAACAGCAGCATCTGGCTAAATATTCTGAATAAAATATAAAGAAAAAGATGCAAAATATCTATGGTTATGTTTCTGCTTGAAATAAAAAAAAAGTAATCATAAAAAATAAAATAAAATAAAAAAACTATACAGAATACAAAAGTGCAAAAGTAGTACTACAGAGTCAAAAACAGCAGCATGTAACTAAACTCCGTCCCTGCTTGAACTGCTTGAAATGAATACTGGAGTTTGCCGCTCATAAAGCAGCTTCCCCAACACTGGTGATAAATAATTGAAATCTGGGTTCCTCAAGACTTCTAGAAACACTGATGAAATATGCTATACAACTTTCAGGTAGACGGCCAAGAACAACAGCACTCAGTCTTCAGTCCCTCGTCTCTCCTCACCGCAGATAAACCAGCGTAAGGAGAGCGTATGGATGGCTGTCCTCTGTGAAGGCCTTGTTTTGATAATGCTGTCTGTGTGTAATTAGCTCGTCTCTTTCGTCCTGCTCATGAAATAGTAAAGCAGGGAGTTGAAGGCTAGCGGTATGAAAGACCTCCAGTCCAACTGGGGTTCAGCCTCGCGAGGAGGAGCCACTACGTGCCGCCACACAGCGAGTCTTTGATCTCAGGAGCTCAAAGCTCACACCGGCCTCTACAGGCGGCACACACCACGAGCCAGCGCTGAATATTCACTGCTAATTAAAAGCGGAGGGCTGCTGGATAAGCAGAGTGGACAGATGATGAAGCTCAGGAGAGGGAAATATATACTGCAAAAAACTGTAATAGATCTAATGAGACATTTCATGTAGTTTTACAGTAAAATACTCTTAAATGTACCGTTTTTGGAAGTGAAAAAGAATGTCATCAGTGAAAATACATCAAATTAACATTCCCAGAATTCCATGTGCTCAAATTTGATGGTTTTTCCATTGAAATAAATGTTTCTTCTTATATATTATTTTTAACGTATGTAACTTTAAGCTTAAGTTTTTTTTACTGTAAATTTAAGATAAATTTGTAATATTTTAAATGTTGCTTATTTATTTATTTATTTATTTTCAGTAGTTCTGGCAACCACTGTTGCCTGTTTATTTACCATAAATTTCACAGATTTGTTTTTACAATGTACGGCACGGTGCTAAAATTTTAATAATAATAATAATAATAATGATAATAATGACAATAATAATAAACATTGGAATTAAAATAATGCTGAAATAAAATAAAATATAAATAATTTTATTAAAAAAGTACAATTAAAATAGTCAATTGGCCAAAGCCTTGGGAACCAACTGAAATAAAAGAAATTTAAGCTGAAGTACTAAAACAACTAAAACTGAAATAAAAATAAATTAAAGCAAAATAGAAACAAACAAAACAAATAAATAAATAAATAGCAGATAAAAAGTTCATTTAAAAACAAAAATTAAAATGAAATGAAAATATAGAAAAAGTCAGCAATTATAAAAATGAATACATATAAAGAAAAGTTCATGCAAAATAACAATAATTATTTAATGCTATATAAACAATACTAAAATAACGCTGCTGCAATGCATGTCGCTTTGGATAAAAGATTTCACATCTGCATCTTTGCACTTGTGGCCTTAGTCATAGTAGTAGCAGCAATTATGTTTTATATGGAAAAATGATAGTTTTGCGGCCTGTGGAGAGCCTCGGGATGTTGTGTTATTAGCCTGATACTCTTCAAGGCTAATCACATATCTATTTTCTCCTCTCTTCACATTCTTCACATTTCACATTCTTACATGATATACAGTGAGATAAACAACAAGCAGACATGAAAACAATGCTGGGATGTGTTTGAGAGAACTGATGCTGCAAGTGGTGAAGGCATCACAAACCTAACATTAAAAATAGTTTTGTTAATTCAAATAAAGCTGAAATTAAATAAAATATAAATATTGGATTAAAAAAAACATAAACTTAAACTTAAAAATTGCTTATTGCCAAACACCTTGACAAACAACAGAAAAAAAGTTGAAGTACTAAAATTACAAAAAGTGAAACCAAAATATAAATGAATTAAAGCAAAATAGACAAAAAAATAATACAATGGCAAAATCACATTACTAAAATTGAAACTAAAATTAAAATAAAAACTGAAAATAAAAAAAGAATACAAATTACACCTTTGCAACCAACTAGATTTAAAAAAATGTAACTTAAACAACAACAATGAAAATTGGTTATTAGCAAACGCCTTGGCAACCAATGAAAAAAAAAGTTTATGCTGAAGTACTGAAATTACTACAACTAAAACTGAAATAAAAAACAAAAGCATACTAAAACTTAAACTGAAATTAAAATAAAAATTGAAAATGAAAAAATGACAACTTTTCAACCAAATGCAATAAAAATACTAAAATAACTAAAACAAAAATAAATTAAAGCAAAATAGAATATGAAAAATCACAAAAGCACATTACTAAAATTACAAAAACTTAAATAAAAAAAGTTATATGATATATGATATAAAATTGACCTTGTCCACCAACTGACAAGTTAACTCAAAAAAGCATCATAATGTTTTATATGGGTCGTACCTGC